AACTTTCCTGTAAGTCTATTTCTTCAATACAAAACGAAGTGGTTTACAGATGCTCTCCTGAAACACACTAGGAGGCTTTCATTCTGCTTCAGATAGTCGAGGGCTGAGTCTTTGCTAGCCCACTTGTGGAGCTGGGGTGGTAATGATGCAGAGTGCAGGTTAGAGGTGTCCCAAGAAAAGGAAGAGGAAGGGGGACCAGGAGAGAGACTTCTACAGCCTTTCTGCAGCCCTTTAGGGAAAAGAGGCTCCTTAGCATGGGAGAGAGTTAAGCCTGCAGGGATATCCAACCTTCTGACATTGCAACAAGCGGCTGTGGTCTACACATTTGTCAGACTGTGGTCTCGCTGTGCTGGAATTCATGTGGTCACCCCATTACAGTAAGGGGTGTGGAGGTGGAGGCACCGTCAGATGCTGGAGAGCTCTGTGTCTGCCCAGTCTCATCAGACATGATGACCACATGCTTCAACTATAGAGCACTTGAAATTCTACCAAGGAAGAGACATTTAAGACCAATTGAAATTAATTAAAGATAATTTTAAATGGGCACACAGCTACTGATTATATACCATGACACCATTCTTTCTTATGAAAAGGAGGAAGGAAAAAGGGAGGGATGAAGAGAAGGATAATTAAATTATTTTTGGTCATGTGATGGAATACTATTTTCCTAGTTTATCTTTACTCTGTCCTGACTTAAGTAATTGGTTATTTTGCCGTATAAATATATAATCCCCGATAGCTAGTGAAGACTTCACTATCCATGCCCCCGTCAAGTTCTTAAAATTTTCAATAATTTCATGTATGAATATTGTCCTTATGTCATTTTATCTCTCCTTTTCCTCTTTCCAACCCATCTAGCACCCTGCTCTGCCAATTTATGACCTCTTTAATTGTTATTGTTACATACACACACATCCCACCCTAATAAATATATAAGTACAACCTACTGAGTTCATTTAGTTTTGCTCCTGTGTATCTGTGTTTAGGGGTGATCATTAAGTATTTTGTAACTAACCAGGGAGCTCATCCCAGGGGAAGACTGATTTTCCCTCTCTCAGTTACCAATTAATGACCCCTGGAGTTTGTTAAAATACAGATTCATGGGCCCCAGAAATTGTGTTGAGAACTCTGCTAGCGTTTGGTATCCCAGAATGTGAGATGCCTATTTTCAGAGGGTATGGCATAAGCACACTGGGTCATGAATAGAATATGGCTAATAAGCAAAATACCAAATAAAACAAAACCCTTGATCCTATTCAATGAAAGTTCCTTAAGCAATTAACTCTAATCTCTTTATCTACCAGATCACTGTTAGGAACTGTTTACTGACTGAGGTAAGCAAATCAAGAGTAACCACGGCTTCATTGCCATGTAATTCTTAAATAATGTGGACTCAGAATGATAATATGCTGAAACAGAAGATCACCAAAGTTTGCAGAGTTAACCACTTGCAATTGGACCAAACAGTATTATTTCACACACTAGACAAGTTATTTTAAGTTTACAATGAGTTTAATAAAGTCTAAAGACCAACTGATTCACTGAAAAGGAATCTCTTATCTCTATATTTTGTAAAAGTAGACAGTGATTCACACTTCTATGCCAATTTAGAATGACTTGAAAAAAAATAGCTCAGCACAGGCTTATGGTCAGTATCACCTTATGCAACTCTAAGTGTTACTAATGGATGTGAGTATTCAATACTGCCTCTGGTATTCTCCTTAAGGAACATTTTCTCTGTACATTTGGGACTCCCTTAGATTTTACTCAACTCTTCGGTGATGACCAAGCGAGTGGGAACAAGCTATGAACCAGCCGAGGGACTTCTCTAGAGAATAACAAAATGTAGGGAACTCAGGGCTTCCATCAACACTGGCAGATATCCCTATTCTTAACCCAGGCACTTGCAGTTTTCTTTTCATTTAATTTTGCTACAAGACTCTAAAACCCAAATTGCTTTCTTCTGCAAAGCAAAATGCATCTCATTAGCTTTCCCACTAAGGCCAATTTATGTAAATCCAGCATTATTAACTAAATAATTGAAGTGACCTTAGTTTGCAAGGAAAGAAATAATGTGGCATTGAGGTATAGAAGAAATATTAGGACTTGAAGCATTCCTGCCTGCCCAGGCCCTTTCATTTCAAAAGCAGCATGGCACAATGCAAGTTCCTCACTGAGAGCCCTGCTCATCACCAGAGGGAGGGGCTAAAACTCTAGCCTGGACTCAGGCTCCCTCCGCCCCTAGGCTCGTCCCCTCCTTCTCCTTCCCAGTCACTATGGGTAATATAAAAACTGAGATATTCCAGTGAAATTTAATAATGCCACAGACTGCTCTAAACAGGTGACAAACAAATAAAAAAAATCAGAAAACCAAAGACTAGAGGATTCTATCTTATTTTTTTTCTGAGAATCATTTATTAACGTGACTTTTAGCTTCATAATGTCTCTAGTTTGAAATTCACCTACTGGTCAGAAAAAAAGCCAGGCCATGCGCTGTAGGGACCAATACATAGGCTATGTTATTTGATCTCTAACATGGGAATATTTGGTAGTTTAACTTTCAAAAATAAGAAACTAAGATGATTTCTTTTTCTGTTGACAGAAACATGTTAGAATCCAGCTTTCCCGCAGCTTTTCTGAAAAGAATTGAGATCTTTCTTTAGTGGCCTACTGACTCAGATGTGATAGCTGGAGAAACAGTAATACTGAAGCCTTCAAAGTCGACGTGATAAGGGCAACACGCTTAGGGAAAACATTTGTATTGCTATCAAACACTTCTAGAGAGAAGCATCCACTGAAGCTCGGACTCTGGATCCAGTATAAGGAAGCACACTGCAGCCTTATGAGCACTGCGGGCTGCAGTCTCAAGCATCTTTGTAAACCTCTTTGCAACTAGCAAGTTTTAATCTTTCTGGGCAATGCTCTGCCCAGTCAGCTCTTGAATAAGCTGATCTTAACCAAATCTTTGCAGCTTTGACTGTGTAGATCGGAGCATTCAGAAGAGCCGAGAACAAAGGACACACACGGTCCTGTGATGGAGATCCAGGCTTGCTTGTGTGTGTGAATCAATAAAACAGCCCCTTCTTGTTCTCATTCCACCAAATCAGCTAAGGAGCTTGTAACGTGAGAGCTAAATGCTTTTAAATGTGCACGCTCCATACAACTCTCACGAACAAATCAAACCATTCTCAGAAACACGAGGCTACTGGTCAGAAGCTGGTCAGAATCATAGCCCCAGTCTATCTGACCAATTGCTACTAGGAGTGGGCCCCAGAAGCCACTGAGGTCAAGTTCCCTTTAGGTAACCACACACCCAGTAGCCCAAAGGAAGAGCTGTGCTCTCCCGTGGAGCTGCAGATTTAAGCGCAGTAGCTCCTGATCAGTCTTTACAAGCTGTAATTTAACTAGGAATCTTTTTTTTACCCCTTCCAAATCAACATAAATCTCTACTGTGTTCTAGGCCAGCGAAATGAAACTCCATGCTGAGAGCATGAAAAGCTGAGTTCTGAAATTGCTGACAGGTTTTTCTCAGGTCTAGGTATACATTTGAATTTGCAGTCTTGCCATCTGCCCACTTAGTTTCTTACCAAATTTCCAAAAAGGAGAAATCCAGGCCATTCCCCAGAACACATGAAAAACAAAAACACAAACACAAACAAAAACAAAAAACCAAGCATGGCATACTTGTAATCTTAATGCTAGGGAGGCAGAGGCAGGCGGATCTCTGTGAGTTCGAGGCCAGCCTGGTCCACCAAGTGAGTTCCAGGAGAGGCGCAAAGCTACACAAGAGAAACCCT